CCTGCCCTCAGGATCATCCAGGAGGAACTGGGAAACATTGCTTGTCATGGTACTGGGCCATGAGGCCCAGGGTTTAAGTTCTAATGCATATTTTTTGTATCCACATGTGTAGTTTAACGCATCTAGTTGTTTTCTAGTTTGCAGTTTGGTTTCTTAGTCCCTTTTGTCATCTCTCCTGGTCCGTGTGTCTACCTGTCATGTTTCATGTCTCTGGTTAGGTTAAGTTCCTGTTCTATCTCCATGTCTGTCTCTGTGTTTCCTGTTTTATTTTGAAAGAGTCTGGTGTTCATTGTAGTTAGTGTTACTCTCCCCTGTATTGCCATTAGGTTTCCTTCTAGTCAGCTGTGTTCTCATGTGTGTCCACTTCCCCTGATCACCTCATGTGTGTATTTAAGTCCTCAGTTTTCCTTTAGTCGTCGCCGTGTCGTCTGTTCAACTTCCCCCGTGTTACGCCAGGTTTCAGGACTCTGTGCTGGTCATGTCCATGTTACTTACGTGTATACGTTTCATAGTTCCTTGTTGTTCCAGCACAGAGTCCTGCTCGCAGTTGCCTCCGTCATGTGCATCATTGTCTTCGCCTTCCCTGCTGTCTGAGTTAAGTGTCAGTTCTTAGTTTTCCCAGTTCAGCTTTGTTTAGTTTTGTCTCGGTGCTTTCTGTTGTTTGCCACGTTAATCAGCCCCCTGTCCATGGTTCAAGTTGTTTTTTTGAGTTAATAACTGATACATTTTGACTTAAGGAGAAGCAAATGGACAGATGGATGTTTGGAGCTTTTGACTTGGTTAAAACTGCTGCTGTTTGAAACAATGATCACTGTGGAAGTGTTGTTTTACTTTGATTCATGTCCATGTTTGGTGTAACTGCTGGGGTGCTTACTCCTATCATTCATGAAGACAAGAAAAAAACAACACCCATCCATTTCTTCAACTTCTTCTCCGAAACTGGGTGAGGGGTGGGTTACACCAGTGCTAACACACAGAAAAGACCATTCACATTCACGCCTAC